AACTTACACAAATGAATATACCTAATACATTTTTTCAGACATTTTTATAATTACATAGAAACCACATATTAAAATTACTGGTTATTCAGTGTTTTAAGTTTATTTCGCCTATTTATTTTTAAGCCTACTTTCTTTTTGTAGTGCAACTAAATACACCATCAAAAGTAGCATGCACGTTTATCTTTTATTTTGTCCACTTATTTATGCATTCGGAATTGAAAATGTTGTGATCTTCTTCAGTTGCATCATGACATCATCCTGAAGCACAGATACTTAACACAGTAAACACATTTAAGCACAGTACCTAACTGTGTAAAGTTTTTCAAGCAACCCTGTTTTCAACAGCAAATAAGAGTTAACGCAGTTGTCATGGAGATATTGAGTTGATGAATAATTAATATCCTCAATGTGACAGTCCTTCACAGCAAGTGAGGAGGGATTGAGGCACATTTATGTAATGTAAAACATGTCAAATGTGCAGCTTAAACTTAATGGTATAACAGAATGGAGAAAGTACATTGCAGAATTCTTTCAATGCAGATTTTATGTTCGTCATAAAAGTACTTTCTATAGATTTGCATTTTGCAAAATGAATAAGATTTAGGCTTTGATTTGTATACCTTTCTTCATTTTACAGTGTCATACATCACAGTTTCAGTACTGAGATATAAAAATCTACACAATATTTGTTATATTTATTGCACCCATGATTTTGGTAAATGTGGTGCATAGTGCCACCTGGTGGAATCAGTGATTATAAACACTTTTTTTTTTCATTATTTTTTACTCATCTAGCCATGTTTTATACATGCAGCTTTATATTAGTAAGTATATATGCAGAGTTGCGTATATTTTATGTGAATGATTTGTATTTGTTGATATACAAAAACATGAATGAACTGCGTTTACTGGCAACAAAACATCCAACAGATGCTATAAAAAGTTAATAAACGGCATAACATGAATTTGCAAGAAACAGAGAGAAATGAAAGAATGTTACAAGTATGTTAAGCATTTCTGTTTGCGGTGTTGCCTCTGCTCAGTTAACACTTTTAAATGTCACTAAAAGCTCTTTTACAAGCAGCGATACTATCAAAGATAAGTCAGGTTTAATCCAACAATTTTTATTGTCAACAAATCATATAAAGAAATTTCAAACAAGTCATAAAAATAAGCTCCATTCATGCTGCAAAAATCCGGCAGTTTCTTTGTGTTGGACTTAACTAATGTCCAAAAACTTAAAAATAAGCAACATCATTGGATTGAGTGATGTGTTATGTTTTATTAAACACAGTCGCAGTAACATCTACATGTTCCTGCTCATAATCAGCCAACAATCAGCCTCTGAAAATCTTACATATGAAATGAACAACGAGAAGACTAAACTGCCCCTTTGTGCTTTAAAAATATCAAAGAATTTTTTTCACTTGAAATATTAACCTGTCCAAACAGTGCCATATAGTGTGTGAACATTTGATAATGTAGAAAGATAGTGATCCTTTTTCACAAATAAAACAAAGTTTTTTAACTCACTTAAACAAGTGCTCTTAAATGTAATTTCATTGTGCTCTGTATAATGACAATAAAGGCATCATCAAATCTAACACAGTGTTTTATGGAGAAATGGCACGAATGAATTATTATTTCTTTTCTGTTGAAATCAAACCCTGCAAACTGAATAAGAAACAAACAAGTTGGTGTAAATTTGTTTCACACACACACACACACACACACACACACACACACACACACACACACACACACAC